TAAAATTCTGGTCCAAAATCGAACCGACGAATTGAGCCGGTAAAAAAACTAGAACTGATATAGTTTAAACAAAGAATCGATAACTGACCCGGTGACATAAAACCGATACCGGTCCGACGCCTGTGTCGGTTCAGTCCAATCCATCTGTTGCTCACCCATAGAGCCAAATATAAAAATATAAAATAGAAAAATAGAAAAAAAAATATTTATGGAAAAACAAATAAATTGGAGGTTTAATCCAACAAAAATCCTAATATATATATAGGGTCTTTTATTTAATTGATTAAATCACAATCTTATATTTTTTTTGCCATTTTTATTTAACTATTTCGTAGTTAAAAGGCATTTGTTAAAATTAAAGTAAATTGCGTCCCTATGGTTCAAACAATAATAATGTTGGTCCCTAATCCATATAAAAAGACTATTTTACCCTTATAATTATTATTATTATTATTATTATTATTATTATTATTTTGTTAAAATTGTTTTACTTTTAATAATAGATATTAATCTTCACATTCCAACCCAACCCCCACCCCCACCCCACCCCAACTCCTTCTTCATTTCATTCCTGTTGTCGTCCTCTCACATCTTCGTCTTTTTCCCCTTTTCATTCAATATCCCCCACCATGCCACTGTGTACCTCCATCTTTTTCGTCACCAACGTTCCTACATCACGACGACCTAAAACTAAAACTAGAGACTCTCCCATCAACATGAACCAAGAAATGCGGAAACCCCTACCCAAAGGGATTAGCAATTAACGTTTATGTGTTATTTTAATGGAATTAATTGGATTCAGATATAAAATTGGTGGTTAGACGATCTTGTGTAAGCATGAGTTTAATGTAATACAAAATTGGTGGCAATTATAACCCCATTTTTAATGTAATCACAATGATTGTTAAAGAATGCTGTCACCCTACTCATGTTTCCGTCTTTTGTCAAAAACTACTTACGAAGATGGAAAAAATACATATATGCTCTCCTTGTTATTAACATTTAGTGTCTAAACAACTAGTATGAACTGAATCGTTGTTTACATTTTTTCTAGAATAGTTTGATCATGATGTTCATCTAAAGCTTTTGGTAACACATCTAGTTGTTTTTTTAATAGAAAAAAAAACCAGTTTTGTCAGAATTTGATAGTATTTGATGTTTATTAAATTGGGTTTTGAAAACTTAAGGATTAAAACTAGGGTTGATAATATTACGGGAAAATGACTTATATGGGTAACTATGTTTCAAAATCGTTCAAAAAATACCATTTAAGTTTGGTGTGTGCAAAAAACACCATCAAAGTAAAGAATTTGTACAAAAAACACCAATGAAGTACGTTCTTTGTTCAAATTTGACCTTGTGGTAACCGACAATTACCGGTAAAAAATAAGTAAAGGAAAAAAAACAAGAGGAAATGACTCAAAGAGGTAACTATGTTTCAAAATTGTTCAAAAAACACCATCCAAGTTTGGTATGTTCAAAAAACACCATCCAAGTAAACTTTTTGTACAAAAAACACCAACAAACTATATTTTTTGTTCAAATATTACCCACCGGTAACTGGCTCTTACAGGTTAAATGATGACTTGCTTAACTATTATGACATGGAAAAATAATTATTGACAAAACAATAAATGATATATTCCTCCTTTAAAAATTGATTTAGGGTTTCTTCATGAACGAATGAGTACTTCTTCTCCTATGATTGCTCTTCTTCTTCTAAAGTGATGATCTCGAACTCAAGTCCAAAACCCTAATTCTTGACGTAAGACAAAAAGGGATCCTTTACCCCTGCCTCAATGGGCCTCCCTCCCCTAATGCCTAAATTCATAAAAGCCCAAAAAGGCATCCAAACCCAACTACAAGGCCTCTAAGGCCCAATATGGCCCAAGAACCCCTAACATGGCCTTAAGCCCAAAAAATGACCTGCTACAATCAGGTGGACCCAAGGCCCAACTTAAACAAGTCCATGAATACGCCCAACATATGCTGAAGCCTCTGCGATTCGGCTTTCAAGCCAGTATGCCCGACGTACTCCTAGCGTACGCCCAACATACTCGGCTAGGGTCAAGAACCACCAATCTTCCGAAGGCCACAACTTCTTCATTCCAAGTCTGATTTCGTCATTCTTTAGACCCTCGGTATGGTTGTATGATGCCTAAATTAGCTCCCGTGGATATAAAGAATGATGAAATCGGACTTAAAATGAAGAAGTTATGGCCTTTGGAAGATTTGCGGTTCTTGACCCTAGCCGAGTATGCTAGGAGTACACCGGGCGTACTGGCTCGACATCCCAATCGTAGAGGCTTCAGCATATGTTGGGCGTATGTATGGACTTGTTTAAGTTAGGCCTCAGGCCCACATGATTGTAGCAAGTCATTTTTTGGGCTTAAGGCCATGTTGGGGGTTCTTGGGCCATATTGGGCCTTAGAGGCCTTATGGTTGGGCTTGGATGTCTTTTGGGGCTTTTTATGGATTTGGGCCTTAGGGGGAGGGAGGCCCATTAAGGAAGGGGTAAAGGAGCCCTTTTTGCCTTAAGTCAAGAATTAGAGTTTTGGACTTGAGTTCGAGATCATCACTTTAGAAGAAGAAGAGCAATCATAGGAGAAGAAGAAGTCACTTGTTAATGAAGAAACCCTAAATCGAGTTTTAAAGGAGGAATATATCATTTATTGTTTTGTTAATAATTATTATGCTATGTCATAATAGTTAAGCCAAGTCATCATTTAACCTGTACTGGTGGGTAATATTTGAACAAAAATATAGTTTGTTGGTGTTTTTTGTACAAAAAGTTTACTTGGATGGTGTTTTTTGAATATACCAAACTTGGATGATGTTTTTTGAACGATTTTGAAACATAGTTACCTCTTTGAGTCATTTCCTCTTGTTTTTTTTCCTTTACTTATTTTTTTAACGGTAATTGCCCGTTACCACATGGCCAAATTTGAACAAAGAATATACTTCGTTGGTGTTTTTTGTACAAATGCTTTACTTGGATGGTGTTTTTTGAACACACCAAACTTGAATGGTATTTTTTCAACAATTTTGAAACATAGTTACCCATATAAGTCATTTTCCCTAATATTACAACATCTTGAATTGATGCACTTTAGTTTAGATCACATGTAATACAAGATTCAAGATTGCAATGAGGTATGTTGGATTATTTGTGATAAAAAGAAATATGAAGTTGGTGATTAATATGATGTACAAAAAAAAAAACCGAAAATACACATTGTTTCTATTGAAAGTTAAAATAATAAGAATGTATTGGCCTCTTTTTATATTATGTTTTAGAAAATTACATGTTTTTATTTATTTATTTATTTTAATTTTAGCAACATTTTGATGAAAAACTAATGAAAAAAAAAGAAACTGAAACAAAAAACCCGATGGTTTGGTATTTCCAAACTCAAAAACCGAAATTATTTGTTCGGTTTTGGTTTAGTACATAAACCTTAGCAATTAACAAACTCTGCTGAATTACGTTGATATTTTAAATTTCTCTTCTAAAAGTGTTGTTTATTGATTTTTTTTTTTAAATATAGATGGTTTTTTTTGAAAGCTTTTACAATATATTAGTGGTTTTTTTTTTAAAAATAAAATAAAAATAAAGTAATGAGTTTTTAAATAAATTGTTGAAAAAAATTTAGAGGTTTTATTTCCTAAACATTTCATATATTTTTAGAAATATTTATCTTAGCTATTTTTTAGATTCTTGCAACCAGCAAAAAATGTATTAAAGAAAATTTCAGAAAAATTGCCAGATTGAGTATACTTGGGAATTCACTGTTAACATCCTCAAGCCTTTTGCTATATTTTTTTTTTTTATTTCAGAAAAACACAATCTTACGAATTTACGAACATTTTTATATGAAGATCATTTTATTTAAAACCATTTTCTTGGAACAGCAATTTTATTTAAAACATTATTATTATGATTTGCCTTACCTTTTTAAGATAAAAATTTATAATGGGGTACGTAAAGGCCAACGACCTCTTTCCTTCCTATTCATGACATAAACCTGTTTTCTTCAAAAACCCTATTTACGTACGTCTCCTCCTCTCGCTTTTCACCCTGGAGACGTTCTCACATTCAAAGCAGGTATGATCTTCATGTCTTTTACATTTGCCCAAATGTTCACTTCGATTCATCAAAACCCTAAATCAGAGCCTGCACAATGCTAGTTTTTGTTGCTCTTTGCAGGATACAATCGTTTCGATCATTTTTATTGTTTTTACGATGTCATTTGTGCTTTTGTGAAATGTGAATGCGAAATGCTTAGAGGAACTTACTACTTTGAAATTTAATGAATTTGAGGAATAACCGAGTTCAGTTAGCTAAGAGGACATATTGTGTATTCATATTTTTGCAACTTTGTGTTCCTTGAAAGGGATCGTTTAGTGTGAGCAGCTGGGTAACCAAACAATGACTTCTTGATGACCATACAAAGTCTTAGAATTACTCTCATGATTAGCGATTAATGAAGACTAGAATTACCCCAAAGGGTGATAACTGATAAGTTTGACTACATTCTAAGTGTTGTTATGGTAGTGATAAAGTCTATGATAAATTGGTGTCAGATAGTAACCTTGAATCTTAAAGTTGTGTAGCAAACTAGCAATTTAATTTAACCTTATGATACCAAAGTTCCTCTGCTCAGTCCTTATGATACCTCCCCTGTTCAGTATTTATCAACTCAATGGGATTCCCTGTGATTGAATAGCAATTTAACCATGTATTGATCAAAAAGTAACTACAAGAAAACAATGCATAACTTGGTCATATTCTGTTAAGACTCTTTACTTCTTTTCACTGACTGCATACCTCTTGATTAATGCATCTTTCATCCATTTTCTGTTGCTGCAGCTTGGGTATTTTCTAAGTAATGTCATTTCAACCATCTTCCAAAACAACAATGGTGAAGATCATGTAGTGGATCAGAAGACAATATCAAAGTGGGCTAGAAAGGTTAAGCTGTTTCACATAAGCTAAAGGAATGAGGAATACAAAGTTCCCTATACGTTATCTAATCGTCATTTTGACCTTCCTTTGCACCTGTGTATGTTACATTGAACGTGTAGGCTTTTCAATTGCATACACAATTGCTGCAGATGATGCAGGAGTTAGTCAATCAAGCAAAGGCACCATTCTGTCAACATTCTATTATGGGTATGCTTTTTCTCAAGTCCCTGGTGGATGGGCAGCTCAAAAGATTGGAGGAAGGCGTATTCTCCTTTTCTCATTTGTGATATGGTCTTTAACATGTGCATTATGTCCATTAGACCCTAATAGAGTAATGGCTCTAGTTATAGCTCGTTTACTTGTTGGGGTAGCTCAAGGGTTTATCTTTCCCTCTATTCATACAGTTTTAGCACAGTGGGTCCCACCACACGAAAGGTCAAGGTCTCTTTCTCTCACAACTTCCGGAATGTACCTAGGTGCTGCTCTTGGCATGCTTTTTCTCCCTACTTTAGTGAAGTTCAAGGGCCCACAATCTGTTTTTCTTGCTGAGTCAGCTTTAGGTGGTTTATGGTCACTTCTTTGGCTAAGATTTGCTAGTGATCCCCCTCGTTCTGATCACCCGAAAGCAACTGCAGCTGGTTTTGGAGAATATTTGTTGCCAATTAGAGATTATCAAAAGTTGAACGCAGAAATAATAACTACTCAAATCCCATGGAGGAAAATCTTTCTGAGCTTACCTGTTTGGGCTATTTTAGTCAATAACTTCACATTCCATTACACTTTATACGTGCTTATGAACTGGTTGCCAACATACTTTGAACTTGGGTTGAAGTTCAGTCTTCAAGAAATGGGTTCTTCTAAAATGATGCCATATCTGAACATGTTTGTTTTTTCAAATATTGGTGGGATTATTGCTGACCACATGGTAACAAAGAGAATCTTGTCTGTGACAAATACAAGAAAGGTTTTGAATACTGTAGGGTTTTTAGTGTCTGCAGTCTCATTAATGTTGCTTCCTCTTTTTAGAACATCTGAAGGGGTGATACTTTGTTCTTCAGTGGCTCTTGGTTTTCTTGCATTAGGAAGAGCTGGATTTGCAGTGAATCATATGGATATTGCTCCTAGATATGCTGGAATTGTGATGGGTGTCTCTAATACAGCTGGCACTTTAGCTGGTATTGTTGGAGTTGAGCTTACTGGGCAGCTTCTAGAAGCTGCAAAAACCAAGAATTCAGATCTTTCTAGTCCTGATAGCTGGAGGGCAGTTTTTCTTATACCTGGATTACTCTGCATTGCAAGTTCTGTGATTTTCCTTTTATTTTCAACTGGAGAGAGAATATTTGATTGAGGTTAGTAATAGTATGCCCCATGTAACACAGCTCTTGTGGTTTCATTTGATAATGAAACACCAATTTTTTGTTGCACCCAAAAGGTGGAAAAGACGTGAATGCCCTCATCATTAAAAATTTCCCTACAAAACCTGTATAACAAATGCAGCCATAAGGTTGAAGAGCAATACACAATGATCATTCTTGCATTATGCTTCTTCCTGTAGCAGCAGGACTTGCAAAAGCCTTCTTACATTGAAGCTCAATTACATCGAAATCATGAATACAAAAGAATATATTGAAACAATATTTACATTATAGAAAAAGCTCGAAATAACAAAGACTCGAAAATACATTTTGAAATAAAACAGACACACATTTGATATTCAACAAGGTGTCCATAAGCAAATGTTGAGGGTTCAAGAACTGTTAGGAATGAAATACGTCGATTTGTGAGTAGAATAATAAAGATTTTTTTTTGTAAGTACAATGTTGTAATAGAGGAAAAAGAAAATATTATATTAAAATATTAATGAAACTATTTCATTGTCTCATTCATTTAGTCTGTTCGAAAAACGGTTTATAAGTTTATACGAGTTGGAGTTTGAGAGGGCTTGAAAACAACTTTAATATATCTAAGAAACTGTGTAGAAATGAAGTTTAAGTGTAAGTTTCATGGTTATCTTCAAAAGTTTCACAAAAATATTAAAATTTGGATAAAAATATGTTGTAGTTTTTTTCCCAATACCGGTACAATATATGCACCACGAAATATGAGTAAAAACTACGGTTATATAAAATCGTTTTAGAGCCCATTTTTCCTTTTGATTAAAAGGATAATGCCATCAAAACCTTTAAAATTTTCATTTTTTAAAGGCTTTTTTGGCTGATTTTATCCAATAACGCTGGTTGTCATGTTACCTTAAAATGAAACTTATAAGAAAATATTAAAAAAATATTAAGTTTGCAATTTTCTTATGGTTTTATGCTTGAAGATAGAGGGAATTAATTTATGAATAAAGTTTTAATTGTATTCTCACCTGAACCATTGTAATTTACTCTTAATTCTAGTAAAATAAAAACTACAGACTTCAAAATTCATAAATCATTTTTTCTATTTTACAAATAAAGACAAATCTCGATATGTTTATTTTAATTTTGTTGTAATTACAAAGATTTTGTTGAAATAGGTTGTGAATAAATTAATAAAGCGAAATTGACTTATTAAGGTAATTAACTTTTCGGTTTGTTCAAATCTGGGTAACTATTTTTTTGTACACATCTATGACTGGCTGTAACACGGTTACATCCGGTTATAATGATCATATGTGAACACTTTCAACAAGTTTATTACCTAGATGTGTACAAAAAAAAATTACCATGAACAAAACGAAAAAATAATTACCGTAATAAGTCAATTGGATTATATATCTAAAATAGAGATAGTATTTTTGTAATGGAATATCTTTAACCTAACGCAGCTCAAAGTAAAATAACCCTTCCAGCTCAAATTCTTCAGCTTCTGTAAATCTGCATTTATAGTCCCTCATGTTTAGGCCTTTTCCTCTTTTGTTCAAACCCACAGGCCACAGCTTAAGTCCAAGCCCACACAGCTACAATATATCGACTCGAGTTACAAGCCCACTTCCTATCACATATGTTAAAGTTACTTGCACTTTAATAGACCAAAATAGAAATAATACAACTCATTTAATTTCTTTATACATTCCATTGTTTAGTTTGTCAAATAAGATATATGTTTTCAATAAAGTGCCTCTAAAATATTTAATGAATAAATAGAAAAATCTATGTTTTAGAAAAAAAATTGTTAGTTGAAGGATTAATATCATCAAACAGCAACTAACTGTGTCACCAATATACATACTTAGTGTCTAATCCTTCAATCGCATTCAGTACCATTGAATCAAGACGTAACTTTTATATGTTCAACCTATTATTCCTTATCTATGTTTTTTTTTATGTATTTAATCAAATTAGTATTTTTACATCTATGTGGAAGACAAACATGAAAAAGTTATAGTGTTAACTCGTTTCACCTTTAAAATTTTTATAACTTTTATTATGTTACGTAACTGGAACTTTAAGTAGTGTCCCAGTAACAACAGATCCATTGTCGGTCTATCATTGACCAAGTGGTATAATGGAGAGTTGTTGGTGGGTTTAACATTTGAATTTGATTAGATATATAAATATAATATTATAAAAGATAATTTAAAAAAAAAAATTGAGTGAAGACAAAAACAAACAGAAAGTACTAACTGTATAACAAACAAGAATATTTGTCATCGATATTCCGCAAATGTTATCAATGAGCATAGCAGTTTCGGATTAAAATTTTGTCAAAAGAATACATATTATTTGTGCATATTTGTGCATTATAATAACTGCAAATAAATGTGTAAATTCAAAAGATATAGATATACTAATATACATGCACATAACAACACCATTATATGTAATTATGAATTTACGATGGATACCAATTCAATTTGAATAAATATTTCTACACGTAAGATTCTGATTTGACAAAACGAAAAAGAAAACCCACGTTCGATAGTCAAATGGTTATCTATATATTTGAACCGAATGAAAACGTAAAAAGTAAAAAAAATATAGAGTATATAAAGCAATATGATAAGTGGGAGAACAAAATATGGTACCACCACTCACAAATGGAATATGGTGATTATGTCTATGCACATCTCGGTGTGATTACTTACTGACTACCACTTCATTTTTGTAATGTTTGGTTTTATATTTTTAGATGTATTTTTTATATTATTTTTAGTGGTTGAAGTTTGAAGCCCGGCTTCTAGTGGCACTTCCGTCAGTTGTCTCATAGGTGCCGCCCTATAAAGAGCAGATAAGTTAAAGAAACTTAAGTAGCGTAGGTAAGTTAATCTAATATAATAATTTTGATAAATAGCCTAATTTTATTTATTATTTTTCAAAAAATAATCAAAATTAGCTAAATATCAAAGATGGGGGGTGCTCCTATTAGCACGAATAAATTCATGTATAATCAACTAGGTGTAAAACCAGTGTATTACACGGGTCGATTAAAATAATATTAAAATATAAATAATAAATATTTTTTAAAATAAATTTTTGAAATAATGAATGAAATTTTGAAATAAGAAACACATTAATTGCAATTTAGTATAATAATTATTATATTTAATAGTTTACATATATAATAATTATTACATTTAATAGTTTACATATATAAGTATAAGTATTATGTGGCTTTTTAATTTTAAAAATTAAAGAAACAATAAATTAACATGTGGATATTATTTATTTAAAAAATATCACAAAATGACAAGTGTCAAAATTATCTTCATTTATTATACTAGATGATTACAATCAATCCCATCACATTTGTTATTTTGACAATTTCAATTGTTTTTATATTTTTTGATTGGGATAATGACATAAAAGGGTAATATATTTTTTGATTTGTACACATTTGGTCACTGAGTTTTTTTTTTTCGTCCACATTTACCCCTTCAACTTGTTAAACTGTACACATTTAGTCCTTATGACCGGTTACTCCAGGTTAGCCGGGAAAAAATGACTTAATAGGGTAATATATTTCTCATTTTGTACACATTTAGTCCTTAATATTTTTGTACATATTTAGTCATTAATATTTTTTTTGTTTCAAAATAAGTCATTTTTGTTTTTGTAATCATTCGGTACTTATGAATGATTTTTCAGGTTTTTTTCACGGCATTTTACATGGGACAATCATTGATGAAGTGTGTGGGGTTGTTAATGTTTATATGTAATGTCTTATTTTCACAACTAAAAATTTTCATTTTTAAATAAGGCAAAAGTCCCTAATTATAAATCCATTATTAAGAAAAAAAGTTTATTCCAAAATACATTTACCGAAAATCAGAGTAATATAAGAAACGCGGAATCCTCAATATTGTTGATGAGTGTGTACAGTCATGTCTTCGCCTTTCCACGATCAACAATTATAACCTGAAAACATAAACAACTGGGTAAGCACAAAGTTTAGTGAGTTTCCCCCAAAACACTCGATACAACAAACGTATTATCATGAATAACGAGCCCCACTCACCAGATTAGAATATCTTGGCCCAATCAGTCATCGGACCGGAATGCCAACATGCAACAGGTCTAATCAGTCATCGGACTAGAATACCTAGGTCGGCATGCCGCCTTAACTCAACCGCTCTTATCAAGCCTCTGTGCCTGCGGCTTACAACCGACCCACACCAGCTATCTTGGCCTACATCATATAGCAGAACCACCTCAACCTATCCCACCACCATATCGCTATCCCACGTAAGATGCCGCGAGAAAAACCTAAAGAAATCATTAATAAGTACTGAATGATTACAAAAACAAAAATGACTTATTTTGCAACAAAAAAATATTAAGGACTAAATGTGTACAAAATGAGAAATATATTACCCTATTAAGTCATTTTTCCCGGCTAACCTGGAGTAACCGGTCATAAGGACTAAATGTGTACAGTGTAACAAGTTGAAGGGGGTAAATGTGAACGAAAAAAAAGTCAGTGATTAAGTGTGTACAAATCAAAAAATACATTACCCTTTTAAGTCATTATCCCCTTTTGATTTTAGCTCCTTTAGCTTAGATGGAAGTTACAAAACGCACCCTTATAAATTTTATTCACTCAAATTTCAATAACTTTACTTGATATATATATATATATATATATATATATATATATATATATATATATATATATATACACGCACCAAAGTATATAAACTTAGGTATATAAATCCACCGTACTCCATTGTTTTGTATCATATATGTGTTGTAGTCGTCCAAAGTTTTTAAATTCAACTTTTAACTTGATTCATTTTTAAGGATTTTAGAAATTTTACCATTATCTTAATCTTACATAATTTTCATTTGTAAATGTAATATATATATATATATATTATATATATATATATATATATATATATATATATATATATATATATATATATATACACACACACATACACATACTAGCTGTTTACCAACGCCAAACGACGGGTGTGAATAGTTTGTTTTGGTGATTTGTTTTTTTCGGTGAGTAAACTACTATAAAGTATCCTCTTATTGGCACGAATGTATCGTGTAAAAGTGATCATATTTTGACTGATTGCAATAAACTACTATAAAGTTCTATCAAGCTTCTATAACCAAATTTTAAATTATTTTGTTATTTTTTTAATAACAAAGAAAATGATTATGTTATTATAATTTTATAATATATTTACTAATTTTATAGTATATCTACTGATTCTTTATGATTTTAGTTAAAGAAAATTAAACATAACCACCATCATTAGTAATATATATATATATATATATATATATATATATATGAAATTAAAAAAAAAGTAGAAGTTCAGGACTAAAACCATTAAATAGTAAAATAAATAAAAAATAAACTTAAATTAGTAACTTTCATTGATTATTAAATGAATTTATTTTAAATGAATTTAATTCCATAAAAAATGAAAAAAAAAACAAATATTTGTACGATGTTAATATCCTTGACGTCATCTTTTTAAACATCGTAATTTAATATATTATTAATATTATTATTATATTTTTTTTTATTCTAATATAACAATACAAAAGATGGTATGAATATTGAAAACGTATAGGGCAAATTTGAAAGTTTTGTAGAAGTAGAAGGAAAAGAAATGAAAATTTAAATTAAAACTAATATTCACTCATAATGATTGATATAGTGATCCACGTTACTCCACTTTCGTGTATTTAGAACTTTTATCGTGCATTTAGAATTACGTTTAGGTATATAACAAATAATGAAAATCATTGTTGATGTGACATTCTTGGGTGTATATATATTATGACTTATTGGTTCTTCATCACAACTAAAATTCCACCATATCAAAGAAAGGTTGTCTTTTTTTTTTTTTTCTTTCTTGTCTTCCTTGCACTACTTGTTACCATTGACGGTTATTTTTTTCGTTTCAACATCCTTTCTCATTGTGAAAAGGGTCGTTAATTTATCAAGCACCATGAGGTTGAAGAAGATGACGATGTTAATGGTGGTGATAATTGTGGTCATGTTTAAACACTGTAATGGTCTAAACATGAATTACTACATAATGACTTGCCCAATGGTTGAGTTCATCATCAAGAACTCAGTCAACTCAGCTTTGAGAGCCGATCCGACTCTTGCTGCTGGGCTTATAAGGATGCACTTCCATGATTGCTTCATTGAGGTACTCGATTCTTTACGAGTTGACTCAACTTGACCGTGATTTACCAATCTCTAAAAATGCATGATTTATGAGTGTAGGGTTGTGACGCATCCGTTTTGCTTGATTCTACAAAAGAAAATACAGCAGAGAAAGACTCTCCTGCGAATTTGAGCTTGAGGGGCTATGAAATCATCGATGATGCCAAGCAACAACTGGAAATGCAATGTCCCGGGGTCGTATCATGTGCTGATATCGTAGCAATGGCAGCCCGTGATGCCGTGTTCTTTGTAATGCTATAATTTTTTTATAAATATTTCATGTTTATCTTTTATTTATAAGTTAAATGTTATTGAATATCATTATTGATTATGTAGGCTGGGGGCCCTGTGTACGATATACCAAAAGGAAGAAAAGATGGCACAAGATCAAAAATAGAAGACACTAGAAACTTGCCTCCACCAATTCTAAATAGTAGTGAACTAATCAAAATGTTTGGACAACATGGTTTCACTGCTCAAGAAATGGTTGCTCTTTCAGGTAAGTGATTGATACCTTTTAAGTTAAATGTTTCAATAAGTTATTAGGTGTAAAACCCGTGTATTACACGGGTTGATTAAAAAAATAAAATATTAAAATGTAAATAATAAGTATTTTTAAAATAAAATTTTAAAATAAGGAATGAAATTTTGAAATAAGAAATATATTAATTGCAATTTAGTATAATATTTATTACATTTGATAGTTTACATATATAAATATAAGTATTATGTGACTTTTTAATTTTAAAAATTGACAAAAACCATAAATTGACATGTGAATATTAGTTATTTAAAAAATATTACAAAATGACAAGTGTCAAAACTCATTAGAGATTGACATGTGACAAAATTATCTTCATTTATTATAGTAGATAATAATAATTAAGATATTGGATATCCTTAATTAATAATTATACCGGATGGGTTGGCCTACCTATCACTTTTTTTTGAAGTTTCTATATAATATATATTACGAAAACTATTTTATTACACTAATGATGCATTGTTTTTGAAAAAAAAAAACACCCAAGCATATTGTAAATATTTGAGTTTAATTCGGATAAATTTTCAAAGAGCGACAAGGTTTTTTTTTTTTTTTTTTTGATTCTTATTTTATTTTTAAAAATTTTATCCGTTGATCAATATAGAATATACTATAAGTTGACATGTTTTCATATAGGTGGGCATACTCTAGGGGTGGCTCGATGTTCATCATTCAAGAACCGTCTAAAAAGCTTCGACTCAACCCACGAAGTGGACCCAAGCATCGACAATCAGTTTGTGAAAACGCTTGCTAATACATGTAATGCAGGCGACAATGCAGAGCAACCTTTCGACGCATCAAGAAATATGTTTGATAACGCTTACTATAACGCACTTCAAAGGCAGGCTGGAGTTCTATCCTCGGATCAAACCCTAATGACTGACCCAAAGACTCGACTGATTGTCAATGGCTATGCTATGAACCAAGCCATGTTCTTCTTTGATTTCCAAAGAGCCATGATCAAGATGGGATTGCTTGATGTTAAAGAGACTGGACAAGTACGTCAAAACTGTCGCAAAATCAACTGATTTAAACATCGCATTAATGTATAATACAACAACTTGATAGTGAGTTTTTTGTGAGTTTTGTTATATTGGATTGGATGTATACAAATAATATGGATTTGGTGATTGTGTGGAGATATATGAATGTATATTAAGTTATTAATGTATGTCTTTGTTAATTTTTGCCATCAATCAATAACAGATAAAAAAAAGATAATCTAGCTTGATACATTTACCAAATAAAAATTTATTAGTGTTCATTTTTTTTAACAGATTAAAATGATAATGTTGGGTATTAGATGTTGCGTCATTGGGCTTTTAGTTTAGTCTTTTGTATTAACGAGTTGGGCCTGTCCACTCGTATTTATTTCTAGGGTTAGAGTATTTAAGATGCATGCATGCATCGTATTTTGGTCAACTCTGATCATTACGCTATAACCCTAATCACGCCTGTACAGTAGCAATTCTTCATAGAGTTCTTCTGAGGCGTGACACTTAATCATTCGACATTCTTTGAATCATCGTTGTGTTCTTGTTTTACTTGTTTTGAATCTAAAAGATCTTTAAGGATTTATTCCTAACAATTGGTATCAGAGCAGGAGACGGTGTAATCTATACGCATCTCTTCTGTTTACAGAGTTTTAGGGTTTCCGTTAATATAGGATCTGGTTCTGTCGTCCTCATTGTCATCTTGACGGCATAAAGTGATCTTGATATTACCCTATAAACTGTCTTAGTTTACACGTCTGATTCCCTACAGGTATCAAAGAAAATATCATCATACAACACGACGATTCTCACATCAACTCCATTAATATCTCAAGCAGTATTGGATCAACAACAAGGATCCCGATTCTCTTTCCTCATGAATATGAAGTATGGGCGCTTCATTTTGAAGATTATGTTCTCGGTTCAGATGATAATGGTTATTTAATTTGGGAAGCCATTACTCTCGGTCCATTTGTTCACACAGAAACCAAAAGAGTTATCAAAACTCAGAAGGAATACAACCAACTGCTCCTTGATGTGAAGGATGTTCCTCAGGACGAGAAAGATAAACTAATCAGAAACGTCAAAGCAATGAGGATCATTAGATTCGCTTTGCAGGCCGATACTTTTCGTCTAGTTAGTTCGTGTGATACTGTGAAAGCAATCTGGGATAGGCTCAAGGAAATTTACTCCACTAACTCAGATCTTGAGCATTCTACACAAACACTCCTGCTTTCGGAGTTTGGTGCTTTTGCACAAAAGATAGAAGAAAATCTGAGCCAAACATTCAATCGCTATAATCATCTTCTTAGCAAGATGATGAAACATGGTATTGGACGTGAGGTGATCGAGCAAAAAGTTACTATCATGAATGGGCTTAGATCTGAGTGGATGGCAATGGTTTCTACCGTCAAAGCGCATGAGCAGTTCAAAAGTTACACTTTAGCCAAGCTTGTTGGGATTCTTAAGGCACATGAAAGTGAGGTGTCGAAAGAAGCGAAAGTTGTTTCTGGTATGGGATCTCTAGCTCTTGTTGCGTAGGGAAAGACAGTTGCAGAGGATGAGCCTGATTCTGATCATTCTTAATGTGATCTTACGAACGAGGAGTATGCTTTAATGATTTCAAATCCCAAGCGGTTCGCAAGAAATAAATTTCCATCAAACAAGAACCGAAACTGGCAGGGCAGCTAATGCTCAGAAAATGTGAAAGAGGAGAACAAAAGCGCTTCTCAAAAGGAGGAAGAAAAGAAGGAGAAAAAGCTCATGGGTGACTTCGGCTATGACTGTAACTATTGTCATGGCAAAAATCATTTGGCCAAGGATTGCATGCTGAGAAGGTTAAATGAGAAGAAAGAAGGAGAAGATGATGAGACTTACCACATGCGAAAGTTGGAGGAGATCAAGAAGAAAAAGGTTGCTGATAACTCTATGCCTGCTTTGATTGTGCAGGAAAATGTGGCTGAAAATGAGTTTGGAGGAGTTGAGGTTTGGTCAACAGACTCGACAGACGACGAGGTTAGCAGACCCACACATGGCAGGGCGTTCGTTGCGAAAGAGGAGAGTTGTTCGCAGGAAGGTATTTGATGGTGACAAGTGATGGGTCACAGACGCAGGAGAATGCTACTGGGAGTGGAAGAAGGGATGATAGTTGTATCACAGCGAAACCAGTTGGTGAACAAATCAATGAATGCGAACTACTGATCAACAAGGTAAATCTAATTCTTGAATCTCTAAAAATACCTGTGTCTAGATATGAGAATGAATTAAAGGACCTAAAATTTACCTTTTCAAGCATTAGTAATAGTTTAAAACGAACCCGTTTAACAAACTCTAACCTAACTGATCAAATCAGTAGGGTTTCGTCGAAAAGCGATGAGAGACGAATGTGGATAGAGAAGATCGTGTCGGATTTGTCTAAGTCTAGGGATCAATTAATTTACTTGCAACGAGACAATTTGATGCTTTTAAAACAACGTAACATTTTTTGTTTGATTGCTAAAAGGCTTTACTTTAACATCACTCAGTTGCACCTTGATTTTGAAATTGGTAAGAAAATTCACAAGATGATTTTACCATTCCTTGAATTAAAGGAAGACGAAATTGACGCCGATTGTTATAAGTGCGAATCCATCGTCTCATCTGACGAGACTTCTGATGCTTACAGGGTAGGACTGGAAAGAATTGAATCGTACATTAAGTCCAAAGATCAAAAAAACATGTTAAAACAGCTTTTGGACAAAAACTATAAGAAGCAAATTAAATCTGATACTATACATAAATTCGATTCATTGAGTACCAAATTGAGTTCAGAAAATAAGATAAATGTTGAAAGCACATCTGAATTCGATGAGGACAGTGAAATGAGCGAAATATCTGTAGAGGATGAGGTGGATTGCTCAGAGTTTGTTAAAAACGAAACTGAACCTGCAAAAGCTTTGATTTCTGAAAATTCGGTTGAATTCGCACGTATTTCTCAAAACAAACCTGAAAATTTAAAAGCTAAAGCAACGGTTTTTCTCAAAGTGCAAACTGTCCCTAATCAAGTGTTTGCTACTAAAGGACTGGACAAAAATCAAACTGTCGAACTAACGTCCATCGTCAACGAAGATAACAAAGATGGTTGCGATGAGTTCTTTTGGTCCGCTCCCATAGATAATGCAGACGAAACGAAGGGTCTGTCTGAAAGAACCTCGTGGAGACTAAAAGGAAGATATGTGGCAGAACCACTGAACAATCGTCCAAGCTATGAGAAAGGAAGTTCAAGTGGAACAAAGGAAGGTTCAAACGAACCTCAAAAGGACGAATCTCATGCAAGAAAAATGAAACCCAAGGCGAATATTCACAAGTCCTCTAAACAACTCGCAGAGCAAAAACGTCAAAGAAATAGGAGATATCAGAGAAATCTCAATGAAAGGAAACAGTTTTGGCAATCCCAAAATTCCAACTATGTTCGCACAGAAAGATCTTCCAATCAAAATGCGAAAGCTCGTTCGCATGTGAATCCCAATCAATGTTCGCACTGTCATACTTGCAATCCATAGAAACCAAAAAGAAACTTTGTTCAAAAACCTTCTCTTTAAAAGAAGCCCATTGAGAAACCAAAATCTCATCATTCTCAACCCACGAATGTTTCATTCAAAGATGTCAAAGGAAAGGGAAAGTTAGTGTCGGATTCTGAATCTCAAACCAAGAAATCGACTACTAAATCAAAGAAAGTTGAGAAAGATTTCGTCAAGAATCAAATAAAAAATAAACAAAAACAATCTGATTCTAAAGAAACAAAAATGAAAAATAATAAAGTAAAAGTTTTCACCATAACTAAGAAAGATGAAACCACATTAGTTAAACGAACTTATATGGTTGATCTTGCAATTACTTTTCCCCTTTCTGTAAAAGGCTCACAAGGACCCAAGAAACTTTGGGTTCCTAAATTTGCTTGATTTTTGCAGGTAATTCGTGACGAGCAGTTCGACTATGAATGGTATATCGACAGTGGCTGCTCACGTCACATGACTGGAAGGAAGGAAGAATTGCGAGAATTTTGTGCTCTCAAAGATGGTGGAAATGCGAAGTATGAAAACAACTCGTTTGGAAAGATCAAAGGCTATGGGATGATAACGAACGAAGATTTTTCGATTTGTAAGGTGGCGTATGTGGAAGGTTTACAACACAACCTAATTAGTGTTTCACAATTGGTTGTAGGGACGGGCTTGAAAGTATCCTTTGACGATGAAGGATCTGAGATAATAGAAAAGAAAACGAAAGCAGTTCTCTTAAAGTCGCAATGAAAAGGAGAAATGTATCATTTGAATCTGAACCCGATACGAGGGAAGCCTGCCATATGCTTGCTTATGAAAGCTCACTCCGATGATAGCTGACTATGGCATAGAAGACTTTCGCACCTCAACTTCAAATACATCAACAAGCTTGTTCTTGGTGATCATATGCGAGGGCTTACTCTCTTGAAGTATGATAAGGATCATTTGTGTGCAGCCTGTGAGATGGGGAAGCAAAGCAGGAAAAGTCATCCAACAATAGTAAACACGAAAGTCATTGAACCATTGGAACTTCTACATATCGACCTTTGTGGACCTTCTGCAATTGAACGTGTTGGTGGTAGTAAGTACATTCTTGTAATAGTTGATGATTTTTCACGTTTCACTTGGGTGTATTTTCTTAAACAGAAATCTGAAGCTACTCCTAAACTCAAGGATTTTATAAAGCAAATTGAGCTTCAACTGCGAAAGCTGGTTCGCAATGTTCGCAACGACAATGGGTTAGAATTCAAAAACCAAGCGTTTGAAGAATTTCTTGCAGAAAAGGGAGTATCACACAACTTTTCTGCTCCTTACACTCCACAACAGAACTGTGTAGTTGAAAGGCGAAACCGATCTTTGTGCGAAGCTGCACGAACTATGCTCACGTTCGCTTGTCTGCCTCTATATTTCTGGGTGGATGCTATTGCGACTGCTTGTTTCACCCAGAATAGATCTTTCCTGAATAAGCGATTCTCTATTACTCCTTATGAAATCTTAAATAATCGTAAACCTAATGTTAATTTTTTCCATGTATTTGGTTCCAGGTGTTTCATCTTCAATTCCAAGGAACAACGAAACAAATTCGATGCGAAAGCTGACGATGGTATATTT